ATTAAATTAATTTTCTAAGTATATTTTCCACACAAAAACCCTAGGTTTCCTATAATGTGCTGAAATAAATACAATACACCTATCTCATAACAACCAATAAATGGCAACGTAGATGACTTGATAAACTTTCATTAATTAGAGTTTGATATACAAAAGATGACACATGCGATATACATTCATAAACAGTACATCCTGAATCTACAGTATGTGTTACAAGATGGTGAAAAGAAATGAAAGCTAAACAGATAATCATATACCCTAAAGGCTTGCAACTTTCCAAGTCAATACTTGGGTATATCAACAGTGAGTCTTAAGCTCAATACATATGATGCCCTAGACTGGTACAAATTCAATACAAAATACAACACTAAGCCTTCAGCTCCACATTCCTCTCAAGCTAAGTCCTTAGTGGAGGCATATCACCAACAGCTGAAAATGGTTTCCCATATAGGGTGAGCCAAAGCCCGGTAGAAATACTACAACACAATGTATAAATATTAACAAAGCCATAAGGTTTTATGCATATGCAATACCAGTGCCAAAACATTTTACATTTCTTTCCAAAACCATGCCATGCCAAGTTTATATCACAATTCTCGAATCATGTCCTTTACAATAGAAAACAAGAGGCATTCTTAAACCGGTACAACCTTTCACAAATATTTCTTCAGCGGGAAACCGTCAAACGACACCCATGTAAACATAGCCTATACAAGCGCTACTATTTTCATTTTACGGATATTTCGTCCACGGGAACTAGCACCCACGTATACGTGCATTTTTCGCGACTTTGACCTTTGACACAGGCCAACTTATTTTGGTGATACACACCTCTTTCCAACGTTCACCCATTTTTGTCAAAATCATATACATTTTCAATGCATTAAATGAGCAACAATATTCAATGTACATGGATGAGAAATTAGTTTTAGTTCATCTAATTCCCATGCAATTTCTACAACACTCGTAGCTATCCTCCAGCGATAGCCCAAAACAAATATTTCTAAACAAGTAAATAAATTTCATTCAAGATACACTTTTTCAAAATCTCAAAATGGGAGTGATAATACATATCTAACTCCGCCATCATCACCAGCATTATTTCAATTTCATAATTCTCAATATCAATTCCATTTTCTCTTTACAATCTCAAATATTCACATTTTTAGGGTAAAATTCCTTTCTATTTGAAAATCAATTTCAATGTAGAAAATACCTCATTTCAACATAATATCAACTCCACTTTCATACTCACAAGCTTTTCCAAGAGACCATTTGAAAAACTCTCTTTTTCATTTTTGATTTCAAACCCTAGGTTTTACCAAAAACCCCCCAAACCACTATAATATTTTGAAATAGAAAATAACTAAGGTAAAACTTATACAAGAGTGTGGAGAATCCTTACCCCAAGCTTAGAAGAGAAAGACAGAAGAAAAGCCCAAAAGTTGACAGTGACGAAACAACAATTTGCTTTGATCAAAACGAAGCCCTCGACAATCTCTATACTTAATCTCAAAGGAGCAAGGTGAGGAGATGCTTCTAAGTGAGTAAATCTAAAGATCTTTGAGCGAAAAAAGTGAGTTTAGAGAGAGAGAAGAGTGACTCATGGTTTAGAGAGGGGAACTAAAAGATAAAGTGAAGAAAAGGGTGAGTAAGGGCCCTATTTATAGTGCTAGGTTAAAGTGAAATAAAGTCCCACAGTCATCCCAAAAGAACAAGTCAAAATCCCCAAGAAGTAAGGCCAAAACCGAACTAATATGGAAAAAAACTCACAAGGGTCGACCCTTGTGTCGGTGGTGTCGATCCTTCAGGAAGAATTGACAAAAAGACAATGCTGGCAGCACACAAGGTGTCGACCCTTGGATCCAAGGTGTCAACACTAAATTTTAGTAACTAAACCTAGATTCTGCAGTAAACAAGGGTCGACCCTTCCCAGACCGGTGTCGACCCTTGAGGCCAGCAACAAAAGACAAGTGTCGATACCACCAAGGCTAGTGTTAACCCTAAATTTCAGTAGCTATTCCAAGAACATAGCAGTAAGATGGTGTCGACACCTCCAAGGCTGGTATCGACCCTTGGAGTAGAAGAAGGCAAGGAAAAGAAGGTACTATTGACACCAACAAGGATGGTGTCGACCCTTGAAGCCAAAACGAAACATGAAGAAAAGGAAACGACCATCATGACTATGGTTTCCCAGATTTAGAAGTAATAAATGGGTCGGGTCTAAATCAGGATCGCTATATTTTCAGTTCTCAGTACAATTTGCCATTTAATTCAAAAAAAAGAAACTTTAACCAAGTTTTCAGATTTTAAATAAATTAAACACTACACTTAATTAAATGTTCAAATTCATAAATTAAGGCTTTAGCCCTCGTACCTTTCTTGAATCACAAATTGACCCCAAATTAGTACCATTATGTATATACACATGTACTAATTCTCTTAAATATATAATTTGTACATGAGATCTTCGTAGAATATTCAATTGTACACTAAATGGATCATCTTTGTCCCTTCAAAATCTAGGATGACCGGCCACTCCTTTACCCCTAGGATACTATAGGATCTTATAGGATATATCTAGTACCAAAAATCCCCTAAATCATTGATGTAATAATAACCAAGGTACAATATAAGATTTGCTATATATATATATATATGTACTTGTAACTAGAAGTGTTTAATTAGCCCTAAACCTAACTAAATTTTAATTAAGTATATAATTAAGGTACTAATCATCTCTCATTCCATTACATTCAAACTAAATTGAGGTACTATTCAATTGAATTGGAACCAAAGGGCATTTTGGACCTTTCACACCAAATTCTCTATAAATGTACTATCCCTCCTCATTTGCTGAACACAAAAAATAAATAAATAAATAAACAATAAAGAGAGAGAGAGAGAGCTTGGTAGTGGCGAAAAGGAAAGAAGAATAGTGCAAACCTCTTATCTAAGCAACAAGTAAGCCACATCACCATCTCTCTTTCTATTTTTTTTTTTTTCAAATACATAATTTTAGAAGTCCTTAGTATAATTTCAGTTCTGAAAATTTTGATGTTCATGTGTTCAAAGTTGATGAGTTGAGCTTTGATCATTCTTCTACTTGTATTCTATCTTAATAGATGCAAAACTATCTTTTTCTTTCCATATCTCACATTATTTCCAAAGGCACACCATCACTTTAAAAATCTGAGTTATTGGTACATTATTTAATATCACTACAAGAAATTAAGGTTTTAAAGACAAAATTTTAGAGACAAAAATAATTTGTCTATAAAAATTATACTTTGGGTAAATTACAATGGCACCCCCTGAGGTTTATGCTTATTACAATTCCCCCTCACCTTTTGGAAATTATATCCCCCTCCTTGAGATTTAAAGTTTCATTACAGATTGCTCCCTCTAGCAATTTAATTTTTTTAAATATCAATTTTTCCCTCACTGGGTAAATTACATTGACACCCCTCACGTTTTAAAAATTACAATCCCCTTCTCAAGGTTTAAAGTAGCATTACCAATTGCCCCTTGGTTAATATTAGTTGAAAAAAAAAATTCATTGGAAAAAAAATTTATTTGAAAAAAAAAATTAATTTGTTAGTCAAATTTTTAAATTTCTGTTTAAAAACCAACGTAAGATAAAAATTATATTGACACCCCTTGAGGTTTATGTTTATTACACTCGAAAGATAAAAATTATATAAAAATGATAATTATTTTTTATTTTTTATTTCTTAACCAAATTATTTTTTAATTTAAAAAAAAATCTAAAAAATAAACCATACATAGCCTAAGAATCTTTTGATAAGTCATTTCTTACGTTGGTAACTTATTTAATTATTTGTTAATTTTATGATATTTTTACCATCCAAGGCCTATTTGGTAACCATTTCGTTTTCAGTTTTCAAGTTATATTTATAAAAATTTTAAAAACTATCATAAAAACTTATTTGATAATTTTTTTAGTTCATAAATGGTTGTCTCAGTTTGTAAATTTGAGCAAAAAATATAAATTCAAAAAATGAGTTTACGTTGGTTTTTAAACAAAAATTTTAAAATTTGACTAACAATTTTTTTTTAATTAATTTGTTTTCAAATAATTTTTTTCCAATTAATTTTTTTTTTCAATGAATTTTTTTTTTCAACTAATACTAATTGAGGGGGCAATTGGTAATGTTACTTTAAACCTTGGAGAGGGAATTGTAATTTCTAAAATGTGAGGGGTGTCAATGTAATTTACTCAGTGAGGACAAAATTGGTTTTGAAAAAAATTAAATTGCTGGAGGGAGCAATCTGTAATGAAATTTTAAACCTTAAGGAGGGGGATATAATTTCCAAAAGGTAAGAAAAACTATAATAAACATGAATCTCAGGAGATGTCAATGCAATTTACCCTTATACTTTTAAGGACAAAATAAAGAAATTTAAAAAAAGAAATATGTAATCATATTATTACATTTTTAAGATAAATTTATTTAGTTGCAAAACAGTTAGTGACTTTTTGTTGCCAATAAACTTAACTCATACATTATTTTATTATATTTTCACTCTTTGCACAATTAGGCCCCGTTTGTTTTGGGTGTAATGGATGGGAGGGGATTGGGATGGAGGCGGGGTTATATAGTGTTGTGTTTGTTTGTAGAGTTAGAAAAGGAATTAGGATGGAGGAGGAGTTATAGATAGAGGTTGGAAGGAGAATTGGGATGGAAGAGGTGGAGGTGGAGGTGGAGGTGATATTAGAAAAATAGTAAGGGAATTAGAATTTTTTATATTTTTTACATATTAGGAATTTTTTTTAAATATTAATGTTTAATTTTTTATATTTTTTATTTATTTTATTATTTTATATAAAAATAATTTAACAATTACTATGCTAACAACTATCATCAAAACAAACGCAATTTAGTTAATCCTCTCACTATCAATCCCCTCACTAACAAACTACTCACTATTAATCCTCTCGCTATCAATTCCCTCCATTCTATTTCCGAAAACAAACATGGTGTTATAGTTAGGATTTCATTTCCTCTCCACACCACCCTCTCTCTCTCTCTCTCTCTCTCTCTCTCTCAGCCCTAATTTCATTGTTGATTTCAATCCTTACTCTCAGAGACTCCTGATCGATGGTTTGTTGATTTCGTCCCCGACAATTTCGATCCCTAATCTGATCTCTCTCAGCTATTTCAGTGATTTCAATCCCAGGTTTGATCGATTAATCGATTATTCATTTGAGCTAAAATTTATATGAAATCGATGATGTTTTTATGTCTTCGATTCATTCATTTTTAGTTCATTTCTTGTAAATTTACAGTTGTGAAATTTAGACGAACAATCGTCGTTTTTTGATGGTTTTTCCGCTTCTCACAATTCAGATTCCTTTTTGTTTGTTTCGGCATGACATTGATTCGAGAGATTGTGTTTCTTCAGTTTGTTTGCTCAGAACTTGTATTGTTTGGTTTCAATTTATACTTGAATTTGGTTTTCGAAACATTAGGATCTATTATTATAACATTGATCTGTGGTTTTTTTTTTTTTCCTCTAATTATTTTAGAGAACAAAATATTTTAGTTCTAAGTGACATGGTTCTATTTTTAGATCAACTTTTACTCAAATTTATCTAGAAATCAACTTTGACATAGTTCAGATTGTAGGAATAGGTGAAGATTGGGTTTCATCATTTGATCTTGAGCTGTTTCACTTGCACAGTTTTATTTATATATAAAATGAAATATTGATAGGTTTCTATAATTTGTTTCACCTAACTTCTGTACTACTCTACATGTCAAACAAAACATGAGTTGTTCCACTCCATTATAATTTAAATGGATTATGTAAAGTTGTTTTGGGAATTGACTATTTTAATTAGCTTTTTAGCGTTTTACGAAAAGACCTACAGAAAAGTAAAGAGAATAGTTGATCTTTTTGTAGTGACTTTTTGGCTATTTAGTATGTTGCAAAATTAAAGTACGAGGCCTACTACATAACAGGGGAACTCAAAGAAAATTGCAAACAAAAATTTAACATTAATAGGATAGAAAATTGATGTTATTAAAACTCAAACATACAATAAAATAGAAAGAAGAAACAGTTTTGAACGCACTAATATGAATTTTAAGCAGGCATGCTATTAAGTATTAAATAAGAAACAAGATGAGACTGACAACCATCTTAACACAAGCAACCACACAAAGAGCTTGTTTGGGAGTTGGCTTTTCTAGTGGTTTTGAAATAATTTTTTTAGTGGTATTGTTCTATTATTCATCAATATGAGCACAATAATACTAGCCTATGTGATGACTTTTTACTACTTATTTTTAGAAATTAGAAATGCAATTGGGTTTTTTCTGTTTTGAGGCAAATCATTGTTTGGTGAAGGCAATGCATCTTCTTTTATGGATTATTTTTTGGTTATGGTTAGAGCTAAAGATTATCGGATAACCTGTTGCTTCCTTAATTTTTGTTTTGCTCGTTAAAATGATTTGGTTCTTGAATTGAAGAGTATCCCACCTATTGAAGGCATTTGATTCCTTGATTCCAAGGCAATGCATGCATGCTGTTTTGGTTACCCACATAATAAAGTTTAGCCATTTATTAATTCTAATTGGAGTCAGATAAGTCATGCGGTCTTTAGTTTAATTTGTATTGGTTGTATTAATGGATTTAATTTGTATTGGTTATATTTAAGCTAAAGTTAGATTTAATTTGTATTGGCTTGCATTAAATAATATTTTACTTCGTTTGGGTTATGTTTAAATGTTAATGACTTATTTATTTTAATTATTTATTATTGATTGACATCCAGTTGTATCATCATATTTCCTATTTTTAGTATATCCTATTTTTTAAGCTTTTAAGCATGTTGTGTTCTTTATCCCCTCCTAGTTCAGTACTTTGTTACCTTTTCTCTCTCTCTCTCTCTCTCTCTCTCTCTCTCTCTCTCTCACACACACACACACACACACACTTTCTTCTTTAGTTCTTTTGCACCATGGATAGGAGTTGGATAGAATTTCTCAATGATATGACAGAGAAGTCAAACAGCCCCAATACTTAAATCATATGACGAATTTCTCAATGATGGACAAGGACTTGATCTTGTTGTCTCAGTTAGCATTTTAATTTTGGTGTCTTTACTTAAATCATATAGTTCTTCTTTAGTGGTGCAATTATTATTGCTATTATGACCAAACTGTTTGCTCTCTAGTACTAGCCTTGCAAAGATTTTCTGCTGAGTTTGAAATTTATATGTAAACAGGTATGTCTACAAGAGGTAGAGGACGAGCAAGGTATGTACCTAGACCCCATGCGCCCATACCCCATGCATCCACTAAATCAGTTTGCTCATCCACTCAATCAACACCTGTACCCCATGCATCTATTAAATCAATTTGATTATCTACGTTGCACCCATTTACATCATAATCGGTGCATGAAGTTACGTCACAAGTTTCACACTCAAATACTTCTAGCACACATTGCAGCACTGATGGTTTGTAAATATTTTAAGTTTGTGTTTTGTTTTGGTTGGTCTCTTTATTTCAATCAATATATTAACATAATACTTTTTCATTCTTTCTAGTAGGCACATCCAAGGTTAAGAGAGGATGTGGGAAGTCACGAAGCCTCAAATTGGCCAAGCTAAAAAATCAAGGGGTGCGACTGCCTATTTAGGTTTGCAAGGAATTAGGGATTAGAGATTGTCACTAGGCAATTTGCCCCACAAAATGTGCCATCATGGACCGATATTAGCGAAAAGGATATAGAAACATTGATTGAAGTGGTACATTCTGTTGGAAGTTTCAATTTTTGTTTGTTATGGTTTAACAGTGCATAATTTTGTAACCTTGGGCTCATTTTCTATCAATATGACGGTGACATGGACTGTGACGTAACTTTGTAATCTTGGGCTCACTTTCTATCAAAATAAAACCCTTCTAAATGCCAAATTACAATTATCTGTGTTGACTCTCCTCTTATAAAACTCACTCAAAAAACCTTCCTTACCTTGTGATAATCTGAATAGGCTTGAGAATTCCTTTACCTTGTACTCTGACTTACGCATTTAATAATAGGTGAGATGTGGCAAGAATAAGTTGAATCAGGAGAAGTTGAAAGTCCTCCACCCTGCTGGCTCAAAGGCCTTCAGAAAAGTGCAATATGATGAGGTATTAATTATAGAATCTATAATTTATGTTTTGCAATTGTAATTGAACAACGTAATCTATATTGATGTTTAATATGTACTAGTGGACCATTAAGCCTTAATTTTAAGGCTGATTTCTCATTTCTAGATTACTTCATTTACAATTTGTACTGTAAACTGTTTTCTTAAGTATTATATTCAACACGCATTGCTTAATGAATATGTGTTTTTAAGTGTTTTGAAATTGTTTACTGTTTTATCATATTTGCTTCTATGTTAAGGTTTGCATTGAATTTACTAGAATTATTGAACTTAACAATCTTCTGTATAACTCATTTGTCTCATTCTGCTTCCTAGCCTTTAGGCTTAAAGGTTCCTTAACTCCATTTTGCAATGAAATTGTATAATCCCTAAAAGAAAACTTTGTCAAGAGTTCTGTTGGATTTTACTTGTTATGTCTGTTGAATACTTAGCATAAGATTTTAGCAACCAATTTGGGTCACAAAGGGAAAGTCCTGGTATGAATCTTTGCTGTTTCATTTTGTTTCGCATGTTTGTGCCTTGAAAATCATTCTACAAGAACATGAATGCTGGTTATATGAAAATAAAAATGAGGGAAGATGATGCTTCATGCATATAATAATAATCGTACAGTTGTGGATTGTGTCCAATTCTAAACCTTTGGTTATTTTATATTGTGATTGCAGTTTACATTGAAATTTGTTTTCTATTGTTAACTTGAAATGAAGTTCTCTGCCACTAGATCTTGTTTCTGATTTCATAGATGCATGTTATGTGAATTAATGCCGTCCTTGATCACCATGTATTGGTTGTTACTATATTGTTTTTGGAACAGTGATTTAAATAAAAATTTATAAAAAAAAGTAGGCAAATTAACATGAAGTTATTGACAATAAGCATTACCAAAATCATTCCAGTGTCTGTTTCTCTACGCTTGCTGATTTATCTATTTCTTGAATTTCTTTCCAGATGCGATTCTCTAACACTTTTCTTGAATTTGAGATATGTAAATGGGTTTCCAGCCTAACTCCAACTCTCCAGGTACCACCCCTCTCCTCCTCTGCCTTCCCCTCATTGTGGGTTCTTTGTCTTTTTGTTTCCAAAATCTGAAGAAATTTCCATTATTGGGTGAAAAATGTGAGAGCTTTGTCTGGATAACTTGTGAATATGAGTAACCCACTTTCACCATTCATTATTCTCTTGTATGTAATTGAAAAATCTAGTATTTTTTATATATGAATTATAGTTTGTTGTCTATGTGTTCTTATTTTGGTATTTAGAACCATTTAAATCAAATTTGGTTGTTGATATTTGATCAGATCATCTACAATTAGTTGTTTTTTTTGTTTGGTATATGGTTTTACATGCACAATTTTTCTATGCATCTAATTTAGAATATGAGGAAAATCAGTTTAATTTTTTCATTTCATATAACGATTTTGGGTTTCTGAGAATTTTTTTGTGCTCTTCAGATTGAGAACTAGAGTGTGTAGCTTCACCAAGTATTAGTCCTAAATAAGTAAATGCAACTTATTTTCTTCTTTGATTGGCAGGAATGGGAACACAAGTGCACTGTGAAAGCTACCTACCCGGATATTACTCCATGAGATGATTTGTAGAGATTCTGTTTCTTGGAATTCTCTGATGGTTATTCTGAGAATGGGATTTTTTGTGTGGCCATTGTAATGTTTTCACAGATGCGTGATTTCTTGATACAGCCTAATAAATATACTCTTGCTAGCATTCTTTGTTGATTTTTTGGTGTCGTTGAATTTTAATTTGGAGATGAACAGATGGTTTGTAGATATGTTTGATATTTTCTATTTGGTTGTTGAGCATGTCTAATGAGATGTTTGATATTTTCTGTTTGGCTATTGAGAAATCAAAAAAGGAATATAAGTTGATGTTCAAACTAATATTTTTAGAATAATTGTTACAAAATCAAAACGCTAAAAATATAAATAAATATAAATAAAAATAAATTATCAAACTTTTAGCGATCAATTTTAGTTGTCTCAAAAAAATTGTAACCTTTAAAGATCACTTTCAATTGCCTGCAAAACTAAGGTTGCGTTTAGTAGAGTTTTGCAAATATGATTAGAGAGTATGAGTTGTATTTCGAGTTTGCGAGTTTTAGAATTATGATTTGAGTGTGGAAAATTTGTTTGGTGAAGAGTTTTGAATTGAGTGGGGAATTTGTGATGTTACATGTGATATTTGATACAAAAACTTACAACTCATAACCAAACATACAACTTAAAATTCTATTAAAACACAAAAAAAATTTCAAAATTTGGAAAATATTTTTTTTTCGAATATATAAAAATTAACATATGTCGATTTCCAAAATAAACCAAACAGAAAATAAACCCAAGATATCTAATACATCTAGCCACATTCATCAAATAGATATAACCATTCTCCAACCTTTACATCTTAATTTCCAAGGTTTATACAAAAGGTTCCACATGCAATTTATATATTCATAGGTAAGTTTACACATGAATCTATAGCATGTGAAGCATAAAGTTCTAAAATAAAAAAAATGCCCTTATGGGCTACAACTTCCAAGGCTTAAGCCTGGTTACACAAAAGTGGCCTCTCGGACCCATACAAGAATAGCCCTTGGCTTTACAAAAATTTCACAACAAAAATAGAGAGTGATCTACTCATATCAAGAACATATCCACGCCTTCAATTTGGCGGGATCACTACGTCTTTACCTGCACCAAAACCCATAGGGGTGAGCACAAAACCCAGTAGAGAATTCTCACAAAGTATCTACAGTTATGCATGTTTCCTCAACATTTTAAAAAAATGCATATGTAATCTCATGCAAATGCCAATGATAAAGAAAAATTTCTTTTCAATGTACTAGTTGAAAAATCACCACGTTCTCCATAATATTTTCAATCTCATCAATTTCAAACTTCGAGTATTCAAATCAATAGGGGCGGTAAATATGACACTAGCAATCCGTAGGTTGGGTGTCTGCAAGTAGACTGTACAAGTACTACCAAATTGTCATTTTTACCGGTATTAACCGGAAGGCCCAACACCTATCTGCGTGGTTTTTAGTCTTTCACCAAGGGCACTCAGGCCAACTTAACAAATTCATCTACACTTTCTATCTGGACTTACCAACGTATTTACCCCTTACACAATTTCATAATTCTCATTACAATAATACTTTTCTTCATGATGTAAATCTCTTTGATTTAAGTTCACAATGCACAATGATAAATAAAGTAACATGCAATGCAAAGCTCTTTCCCATATCTCATAACATTTCTCCATTTTGAATATCTCTACAACAATGTCAACATTCACATTCTCATATTTCCCTTTCAATATTCATTCACAAAATTAACATGTGCCATCAACATATTGCCACAATTCTCATTTTACATGTCATAACAAATTAGTCTCTCCATGGCTACAAGTGACATAATTCAAATATAAATCCCCAATGTTTATAACTTTCCCACCTATAGCGATCCTGTTTTTTTCTCACTTTATTTATTGTATTCTGGCTTCGGTTCCGTGGATGTGTTGTTGTCTCATTCTTATTTCCATCCTTTACTCTTTGTATTTGAGTCTTGGGTTGTGTTGGGCAAGTTTGGAACAGGTTGGTTGTGCTTTGAAACCTAGAGTTGATGCCCAGAATTTGGCTTTCATGCTCGAGCGGGGCTTTTGACGCTCGAGCGAGCCCTTTGATTTTGCTTCTCCGCACGAACGGGAGTTTTGATGCTCAAGCGTGATTTTCCATCTCCCAGTATTTTCTCTGCAGGTCCTCAGATGCTCAAGCAGGAGTTTTGACGCTCAAGTGTGACCCTTTGATTTTGTTCCTCCGCTCGAGTGGGGAGTCTGACGCTCAAGCGGGGACCATGGTCTGCAAAACTTTTGGAAGTGTGCAATCGATGCTCGAGCGGTGCTTTTGACGCTCGAGCGTGAGTTTGTGTCTGACGCTCGAGCGGGGGTTTCCACGCTCGAGTGGGGAGACTTTTATATCAGTCCGAGTTTCACCTTTTTGGAACACTTTTTGATTCCCCTTCTCTCTCTTACTTTTCGAAAACCACCATTGGAGAGCACCTCACTCTAAAACTCTACCTTCTCTCTAGGGTTTGATCTAGCAGGAGTGACCTTATACCCTTTGGCCTTTGTAAAAAGTGTGGAGTTTGTCGAGGGCTACATTTTGATCCGAAAATATTGGGGTTTGGAGCACTTCGAATTTCTTCATCTTCTTGCTTTGAGCTCCAAATTTGAGGTAGGGATAACTACTCATTTTTATGATCTTTGACCTAAGTATTTAGTCATTTTGATTTAATGTTGAAGTTGGGTGATTTTGGGTGTTAGGGTTTCTAAATGTAATAAGAGGGGTTTTATTATTGTGGCCCATAAATGTGTATTTTGGGTCTTAAAATGATAGTATTGATGTTATTTAAGTTATTTTGGGCCTTTGGGTCAATATTGAGAAAAGTGGGAAAAAGCCCTAAATTGTTATGACAAATTAATCCATGTAATTAATTTGGGAAATTATGGAAACATGAAATTAAGTTGGAATTAGTGGAATTGGCATAATATGAGATGTAATAGTGGAGTTGGATTTATTAATTACTCACATTTGATAATTGTTGATAAATTATCTGTTGATGGAATTATTTTCTATTTAGAAATAATTGCTTTGGGCTATCGGTGGAGGATAGTCTTGATTGTTGTAGACAATGCATGATGATTAGGCAAACTAAAACTAATCAACTGAATATGTCCTCGAATATGACGGTTGGAATAATACATCAAATTTATATGTTGATTGATTATGTATATGATATGTGTTTATATACATTGTATTGTGTGGGAGGAGATAGGGGATGTACTCCACGGTTTAGGGGAAGATAAGGGATGGACACCTAAACCAGATGTTATTTGGGAAGCGATAGGGGATGGACTCCATGGATACAACAAACATGTGTATTTATTGAATTATTGATACAACAAATCTGTGTATCATTTGTGAAGTATGGAAGTGTTTTATGTGTTTTTGATACAGCAAATACGTGTATCTATTGAGGCTTATGGAAGTGTTTTCATATGAGTTGTTATCTTATTTGAATTGTTGAAATGGAAGAATTATTGATATGAGATGTAATCTCATTTAAAGTATATGGCCAGGTTCTGAGCCAGGGTTTTGAATTGAGAAATTGGATAAGAAATGGAAAAATAGAATGAAACATGGACACATTTGTCATGTAATTGAAATGGGTTATGAATTGATTCATGTGAGTTAAACATTTATCAAATGCTAATATTTTAGTTATTGCTCATATTATGTTTAGCATATCTCTACTAGGCGTTGGCTCACCCTATATGGGACATCATTTTCAGGTACAGGTATTATACCACCTCCAAGGACGTAGCTTTGAAGGCTTGAGGCTGTTGGACCTTTTGTTGTTTTTGTTGTATTACATGTAAATCAAGCCAAGGGCTTATTTTGTGTAGAGTTAGTACTCTTTTTTTTGTAACCAACTGTTGACTTGCAAAGTTGTATTACTTTTGTTGTCAACATGTAACACTTTTGGACTAAATACTCTATGAATAGAAATATGTTTATTTCTCTTATGTTTATGGATGTCGCGAATGCATGATTTATGGGTTTATTTTGAGGGCGTTACAACTTGGTATCAGAGCGTACCAGGTTTGAATACTTTGGGTACGTGGGAAGTGATTAGTATCACAATGGGTTTGTCTCGCTTGTTAGAGACATATGTGTAATGTTATGTGCTTACGTGGAGTGAATTACAATTGTCCACACATTAGGACGCGAGTGTTATAGCTTCGGCACATTTGTGAATATGCTAATGTTCTTCGTTACAATTATTAGGATGTCAGGACGAGGACGAGGACGTGGAGGTAGACGTAGTAGGCGTGGTAGGCAGGAGATGCCTTTACCGGATGATATTCCGGCGCAGCAGGAGGGTGTTGGTCAGGCCAATGTGGCCGAGCCAGCAGGTCAGCAGGCCATGGGTGCCTTAGCCCGTGAGATAGTAGGAGCCTTGAGGGAATCCATGCACATTCTCAAAGCTGAGAATCAAGTTCAGGCCCAAGTTGTTGATGCAGGGCCTTCCTTTCTGAAGAGGGAGTTTTTCTGGTCTAACCCGAACAAGTTTGTGGGGAATCCGAAAGAGCCACTAAAAGTTGATAAATGGCTCGAACAGATAACGAAGACGTTTGAGATGCTTGGCATCAAAGACGGGGCTTTGAAGGTGACCTTGGCATCTTTCCAGCTTAAGGAGGATACGGGTCAGTGGTGAAAGTACATGAGGGGTCGTATTGGTGGCACGTGGGAGGCTTTTGTTGATGCTTTCCAGAAGAAGTTTCTATCTCTAGCTGCCAGGGAGAAACTGAAAGACCAGTTTTGTCAGCTCAAGCAGCTGAGTTTATCAGTGGCCAAGTTTGAGGCCGCATTTACCAGTCTATCTAGGTTCACACCTGAGCTTGTGGCGTCTGAGGAACGTTGTTGCCTTGAGTTCGAGAAGAAGCTAAGGCACGGGCTCAAGATGAGAGTTGGGGGTTCTATGACCCGGGATTATGGGCACCTTGTGGATACTGTGGCCCATATAGAGATTATGATGCAGGAGGAGGAGGAGAGACAGAGGGGCTCCAAGAGGAGTCAGGATGGTCAGGGGGACAGTAGGAGGCAAAGGGGTTCTAACCCTCAATAGTCCTAGGGAGCTTTTGTGAGCTCGACCTTTCCAGTACCGAGTTCGGGTTCTGGGAGAGGCAATCAGGGAGACATAACCTGTTACAAATGTGGTCAGCTGGGTCACAAGTCTCCAAC